TCTCTTAGTGAGTGATTGATTAAATTTGCCAAATCAAATTGTGGGTTGAGTGAAATTCAAAAAGAGAGCAATCCAACCACTTGAGCACTTGTGCATATTGTCAATCTCGTGGTTCGCATTTGTTACTCTTGGACTCTTCGGTCCTAGACGGCTAGGCGTCGCTAGAGAGCACTCGAGAGATTGTGGTGTGCCTCAGAAAGTTTGTAACGGTCGATTCCGTCACCTCGGAATCAACTAGTTGAAGGAGAAAAAGGAGTTGGAAAAGACTCTGGCTAGAGTGACCTTCGTGGTACCCTCTAGGGCTGACCTTCGCTGGGTCGCTCGCAGCCCCCTCAATGGAGAGTAGGACTCGAACGAGTCCGAACTTCGGTAAAATAAATATCGTGTCTCAATTCGTATTTCATTTGATATTTGTGTTGCTCCAGCTCTTGTGCAGGTTCTCTGTGTATATTGTCATCTCTAGTAGGTGCCTGCAGTTTGGTTTAAAGATAGAAATCGAAAGGAGCAAGTTCGGGGCTGATCTTCAGAAATCGTGTATACCGGACACGTCCGGTATTAGAGCTCAGAGCTGAATATTATTTGATTTCTGTTCTAACTTTGTATTGCAGGGTTGTAGCTTCTAGATATATTCTTTATGCCTTGTTTACTCTGTAGCTAACTTATGAGGGGTGGTATTACTCTTAATTTAGAGTTTTCATTTTGGAAACTCTCTTTTCTAATTGTTTCTGCATTTAAATGTGTTAATTTTTAGAAATGCCTATTCACTCCCTTTAGGCGGCATCATGGGTCCTTTCAGTACACATGTAATGTTTTCTAATATATTTTAGGATGTTTGAAAAGTATCCACATGATGTTATTTCAAATTTTTTCTATTATGTGTTTTTATTTTTTATTTTCTTATGCTTTGCTCTAGATTTTATTACTTTTTATTTATATTATGTATTTATCTTTATGTATATTATAATAACAATTTTATGAATCTAAAACTAGAATATATTCTTCTAAAGAAATAATATTTTTCTTACGAAGACGGAACATTGTTCTCTGAACCTAGAATATCGTCTCAGCTAAATAAAAGAAAATGTTCTATCTTTATGAAATTAATGTTCGTTAATGAAACTTTATCTAAATATATCCATGTGGGGTCTTTTTTTTTTGAAGCATTTATTATAAGAAACACAATGGTACATTCAGAATTTAATTTAAATAATCGGTTTAGTAGTTATGACTTTTTTAGTGTGTACCGCACGTAAATCAATGAAATAGAAAAATAATCTGTGGCCCCTCACTTCCTGCGCGCCTACCCACGCAACGCGCATTGCAGATTGGCCGGCGCACGCTAGGAGCCAGCCAATTGGGCCGGAAAATTTTCGACGGGAATAACTGGCGGGGAAAGGTGCCGGACCGATGATACCGTCCAATTGGACAGACTCTAGCACTGCCCGGACCTAGGGGTGGCTGCTGGCGCCGTGGCGGGCTCCGCGGAGTCACGGGCCTAGAAGGCCCGGATGACGCGGACCTAACCAGATCAACAGTAGTAGGCAGCGTGACGTACGCAGCCAGTTTTCCATGCGCCGGCCGGCATCGTCGACGGCAGGCGGGCCCAGGTCGGCGGGGCCATCCCGCTCGCCGGCCTCGGCTCCTGCGACGGGTGGCCGGCGTGGCACGACATCGACCCCCAACTCCGTAGGCCTCGGCGTCAAGGCCGCACCACGGAGGGGGGCGCGCAAGGGTAGGGGAAGGAGGGAAGGAGGGGAGCCGGAGGCGGCCGCCGTGGCCGAGGCGACAGCCTGCGCCGGCGCCAACGGCGGCAAGGTCGGCGACGGGGAGGAGACCGATGTGGACGAGAGGTCACACATGGCTGGCAGTAGGTGTTGCAAGGGGAAGTGGGAGGGGGAGAGGGAGGGGAGGGGGAGGCGGGCGTTGGTGCTGGATAGGGAGCTGGCACCGACGACGGCGATGAGGAGGGGCCCGCCAAGGGCTAGGGTTGCGGGGGTTGCAAGTGCGGCATTAGGCAATGGCTCACATGGGGGGTTATGATGAGTAGAAGGAATGCTTTCACATGGAATTCCAAGTATGTCAAATTTTTTATGGAAAGAAGTATGTCAATAAAAATGTGAAGAAAAACAGATGCCAACTGAAGTTGCATCAGCATAAATAAAGTCACCTAGACTTTAATAATATAACGGTTTGGAAGATGGGAAGCAAGTATTTCAACGTTAACACGTTTTATGAAATAAATATGAATCACAGATTGTTTTTCCTTAGAAAGGGAAAAACACATTGGGAGGCTGCGACAACAATAGTTTGTTAAGCTATATAAGAACAGAAATCAAAATATCTTGTTACCTTTAACACATTATTATAAGCTAGATCCGGTACATGCATTATTGTACCGATATATTTTCCAAGTAGCCTACTGCTATTGCACGAGCACCATCGCTCAATGCCTCAATGTTAACAATCTTCAGTCTTCTGTGCAGTGTTAATGAGCCATGAAGCAGAAAACATAGATAGCAAAAACGTCAACGATAATTAGAGCGGTCTGCAGAAAAGGTTTGAACTAGCCATTAGTTAAATTCTTCAAGAAAACGTAATTAAAATCCACATAGAATAGGATTAAAATACAAATAGAAAATAATAATTGGATCAAACAACAGAAGACCACAAACAACCAACTTTTACAGAAGATACTATAAATGAAAAGGTCGTCGATAAATAATGGTCCAAAATGATTTACTATATTATTTGTATATATGTTGTTTTTCACACAAGAAACGGAAAGAAGATCGACAAGGAACTAACTTGCAGTAGTCTGCTAGGAATTAGATGGGCGTGGTACATTAAAAGGGTGAAAACGATCTGATTAAATTCAATTTTGAGCTTAAATTTGACTATGGTCAGATTTTGTTTGCCATTAAACTGTTCTTGACTATTGCACTAAAAGGTTTATCAAGAAAGTTTTTTAACCAATGTCTCTCATAGACTGATTTTCTCTTTACTCCCCTTCTTTTGATTTTTTATTTGAAACAGAAAATCCCCTACTCCCCTAGGGCATGCATGAACGACAATGCAGGATGTTCTTCCAGGGCCCATTAGTAGCTTTTCAGAGTTTAAAAAAACAACAACCAGAACATATATACGTACGCTTCCAAAGCCCGTCCAGAAGTTACAACAGGCATCGCTGACGCACAGCCCCGACCCCGCCGGCGTAGGCTCCGGGAGCGGCGCGCCGCCCTTCGCTCGAGCCGGAGTCGGAGCCGGTGCAAGCGGCGCCGGCTCATCGCCCGCCCGCTCGTCGTTGCACAACAGCGCCATCATGTGATGATCCTCCCGCGCGGACGTCGTCGTCGTCAGGACGTCGGCGCGTCGTCCGTGCCAGCTGCTGCGGCAGACGGCGGAGCGCACGCCACCCTCGCCGACCGCATGCTGGACGCCGACGATGCGCGTGAGCTTTTGCCTCGATTGGCTCCTCTATCTCTTAGTCGATTGCTTATATAATGCCCGACCGGCGACCGGCAGGCGGCGGAGTCGATCACAGCTCGGATTCGGAGTCTCCGATCCATCACGTGACTCATCGACTGCTAGCTCGACAGGGGCCCACATGCAGGGAGAGAGAGGGCTGGCCACTTGTTGGCTCGGAAACGGTTTTGGTAGCAGCACTGCACACATCGGCTTCCATTTCTTCTCCCTGCCGTTCTTATTCTCACGTCTACTTTACCTTTACGTGCCTCTTCTGTCCCAATTCCAAACTAATTAGAGAATACTTTGTTCGCAACTTTAACGAGTTCTCATAAAAATATATATTAACACATATATACAGGTTCAAATTAGTGCATTATCAAGACGTATTTCGTGAACAATTTAGTGTCCAGGTGTAAGAGCTTAGTCACACTTGGCACAATACCTGAAACAAAGCCATTAGCTATAAGGTCATGCAACAACTTCAGGTTTCATCCTACAGGAGGGAGAACACTGAACACTGGATGAACCTTGGATTCTCACTTCAGTCTCTCACGAAAGCTGCAGCCAGCTAGTAGTATTAGCAACAACAGGCATCAGTCTCAGCCTCTCATGAATCTGAATGATTTTTATTCGTGCTCAAACTGAACCCGATAATCATCAGTCGGAACAAGGCAAGGCTAGCTAACAATAATCGATTGAACGAGACACTTGCGGATCATGGGATAGGATATGCGACGCCACTCAGGCTCAGCAGATTTTACCGGAGCCTTCCATCAGCAGATGGTTTGGCGATGAAATGGAGACAATTTCGCGCCTGATGCTAAATTCGGATTTCAGAGACGGACTTGTATCATGTCCAGGCGGCTGATGCCTAAATTCAGATTTGAGAGACGGGCTTGTTGATAATTCCGTGCAGCAGCGAGAAGAAATCTTGCCCCATTTCCTTCTGATATCATCGGAATCGCAAGTCTCCAACTCATGTCAAGGTCAGATCTCAGAGACGGCATGCTTTAGTCATGTACTAGCTTGTATCATGTCCAGGCGCCTAATGCTTGTTGATAATTCCGTGCAGCAGCAAGAAGAAATCTTCCCCCATTTCCTTCTGATATCATCGGTACTGCAAGTCTGCAACTCATGTTAAGGTTAGATTTCAGAGACGGCATGCTTTAGTCCTGTAGCTTGTAGGTATCATCGTCTGACAGCACTACACAACAAGATACGGCTGGACAAGGCATTGTTAGGATTCCATGGTCACTAAACTTTAGATCATTTTAACTCTTTGTGAGGCTCTAAACATGTGGTCTAAAGTTCAATGAACCTCACAAAAAGGGCTTTAGTTCATTAGACCACAAAAGTAAACTAAAGTTGTCTAAAGTTTAGCTCTTAATTTTAGTCAACTAAACTTTAGACCATGGAATCCAAACAGGGCCTTAATCTGCTCCAATAAGTATATTATAAAGAAACATGCTTACAGATGAAATATAATGTGCCGTTTGCAATACAGATTTATTCCTCCACATCTGCACCCAGCAAATTTACATGACAAAGTTCGTCAATACTTTCTGAACCAAATGCTCTCCGTACACAACCTTTTCGTACTTGGCAGCACCGCCGGTTTTCTCTCGGCAGAACTCAACAGGCTCTATTGCAGCATCAAAGTTTGACTGCACCATTGGTTTCAGGGGAAAAAATGAGTACGACAGTAACTAAGTTGATATGAAGTTCCGAATGCACGCTTGTGTGTGAGAGACAGAGCGTGCGCGTACCTCATAGAAGAACGCAACAGATACACGGTAACGAGGGGAATTGTTGACAACTCTGTGAAGTGTGGGCTGATATATTCCATTTGTCCAAACCTGAACCCAGAAGGATTATAAGAGCCTGATGTTGTGAAACAATCAGATTTGCAAGCTAACGTGCAAAGAAGCAAGTAAAGAAAAAACCTTCAGCATGTCACCAATGTTACAAACAAAGGTTCCGGGTATTGGCGTTGCATATATCCACTCACCAGCGCGATTTTGCACCTGATAGATCACCAAATAATTTACACAGTTTTTTGCAGGTTTCGGCCAGTAAAGATCTAATTCCTGGAATGTGAAGATCGGATGCACAAAGCAAACTTGAAGATGCAGAGCACTGTGAAAAGTATAGAGCATCTCAAGATTGATTATCAAATCAAGCTGTCATCTTGGGTACTAATTCTGTCCACTTATTAGCAGAACAGAAGAAACTGGACACAGTTTAAGAACTGGTCAAGAGAAAAGGAGGCATAAAGAGTAACACGTGATGTGATGAATAAATTACAGATATGCATGAGATTGAAGAAACAAATACCTCAAGGGCACATATGTCATCATCCTGGTTAACCAGTGTTAGAAGTCCTGCATTTTTAACCAAATGAGGAAAACGATCTCAAGATTTTGAAAATAGCCTCCACCAATCTTTGGATATAGTAACAAATATCGAGAAAACATGTGGCTTCCTTAAGAGGCAAGTAGGCAACACAGCCATGGTATTGTGTTAATGGGATAACAGTAGCCTATACTGATCAGAAGTTATCATCGTCCACAGTTTCGCATATGGAATTTTTTTTCTCAATAAAAATTCTTTGGAGAGACGTACTAACCATAATCTGTATGAGCTCCACTGGATTTGTCATATAATGCATGGAACACAAAAGAAAAGGAGTGAGAGCAAGTAAACATAATTGCCAGGACAAGCTGCAAAATAGCAATAGCTGGCATTTACTGATTACCAGCCAGTATCAGTGCACTGCTCTTCTGGAATATCTACTGGATAACCAATCAACCTTAACACCCAGAAAGGATCTCCAGCTGTATCCCCTTCAAAAGCATCAATCGCCCCTCCCAAAGCCAAGGCTATACCTCGCATTATCTTTCTTGAAATATCTGTAAAGATGACATAATGAACACTATTGGTGATGAACAAAGATGAATGTTTAGAGTAGGCTGAGAAGTGGACCTCTACATAAGTTGATATAGTTTTCTAGCAGTACTTCAAAATTTGATGGGTATTCTGGCCTGTATGAAAGGCAAGTGATCAGTTCCTTCAGTACAAACAACATATCTTTTTAGACTATAAGAGCGACATGAATTTAGTAGCCGCTTATAGCACAAGAAAATCATCTATTGATATTTGATACAACTATTGTTTTTCAGTACTACTCCATCTGACGAATGGTGAAGAAAATCTGCTTGACAGATGGAAGGTAGTGTGTCAATGCTTACTAAGTTGCATGGTAAGACATGTTTGCACTTAGTTCATCATACATTGGTATGTTTACACAAAAAAAGGGGTAAGTGTAAACCTATTTGATAACTTCCCCTTTTCAATTTTTAATCCACATGAACAAGCTAGACTTGAACACACTTTTCAAGAGATGCAGACATTTGCAGTGCTTGAAGATGTACCTTGAGAACAGAGATGAAGTTGGAATTTGGAAACATACATACCATAAGTTAGATCCTTCCATTGGTTTAGAAGGAGATCTCCATATTTGCCAGGTCTAATAGGAGTATAGCACTGCCATATTTGTTCTCAGGGATTAGCTCTGAACAGCTCAAAGCACGACATGGAAACAAAGAGACAAAGTAAACTTACATCGATTGCTTCATGCATATCAGGCTTACCCTTGGTAATATTCTCCCCTAATCTTTGATACCCTCTGAAAATAAATAGTCAGAAATTTCCCAAAGACCAAACATAGAGCCAGAAAGTAACAGGACATGTTTAAGCAACCACACCTATATCCACTCTGAGGTGTCATCTTAATTTTTAATTTTTCCTCATAAGGAAGCTGAAAGAATTTGCGGGTCACATTCCTGACTTCCCTCATCAGCGACTCGTCAATACCATGGCCTTTCTGTTAACATCATGCATACAGCATTTTCCTGGGTTAGCTTTTACAATAACAGATTGTTTAAAGATTCAGCTTTTTTCACTGAACAAAAAGAAAAGCCAACTGTACATATGCACCTACGCAAGACAGGGTATGGTATGACATAGGTACTTTACAAGATCCTACTGAAGTAATCCAGCACATACCTCATACATCGTTAATGGTAAATATCCACGTTTGATATCAAACAGTCTACATAAGCATGCTTTGCTGATATGATTTGCTAAAAAATTTCAAACTGATGTTTTCAAAAAAAAAAAATCAAACTGGGCTGTTTACTATCACAAAGTTGATGAGTCACTGTTTCCAGTCTTCGTTTCAATGTTGAAATACATCTTCATCGATAGTGAAAAGTAACCTACCCCAGGTCCCCAACCGGCTTCTGTGGTTAGCTTTTCAAGCAGGTTTGCTGTTATCAGAGTTAACGAGTGATTACCACATAGAAGAATCCGGCCTCTTTGCAAGCATCGTCCAGAAACCGGACAACCTGCAGCAAATCCTTGTCGTTGGCCATGCTTGGATCATCAATCTTTTCGACAAGCGGGCTGATATCTGGCAATGATAGGAACGAACAAACACACTCGTTATAAAATCGAGAGCTGGAAGCACAAAGGGAGAGGGCAAAAGACAGAAGCTGCTGCATCTACTGAAGCGAGCGAGAGGAGCTGCGTCCTTCGCTTGCAGAAGTTACTAGCACTGCTGCGGCAGGAGGCGCGCAAGAATCGGGGCCGCTGACTCTAAAGCCTGATGCCCCGCCGCATGGAACATTCAGCCCAAACGGGCATCTCAGGTTCTTGAGGATGAGGATGGGAGGAAGGTTTTACAGAACGATGGAGGTGGAAATGCGGGGAACGAAATTTGGGTGCCTCAGCGGTCAGCGCAGAGCAGAATCTGATCCGGATACCCCGAATCTTGAATCTTTGGAGGGAGAATTGCATCCAGAGAGCAAATGGAATCCAATTGAAGAATTAGTTAAGGCGTACCGAGCAAGGGGATCGATTTGAAGTCGGAACCCATGGTGCGGACTGCAGACAGGGAGGGAGAGAGATTTGTTGCAGATAAAAAGCGACGACGCTGATCGTGGGAGCGAGCGGCGATGGCTAGCAGTGGCACTCCCGGTGCGGTCAGCAAGTTGCGTGACGGCTTGTTCACTGCTAGCCTCAATTATGTGGTGTGTGTGACGCCGGAGGTGTTTGTTGCGTTATGCTGTTTTGTCGCTGCCAAAAAGCAGCCAGCGGCACGTTTAACAAATTGCACTCTCACCTTCGAGCTCTGTGACGTCAGATTGAATCCGTTATTTAGGACCTGTTTGGATCAAAGAATTTCCAAAAGAATTTTGGACCAACAAAATCCAAAGAAAAGGAATCACTTCATAGCGTTTGGAATGAAGGAATTTTGAATTCCTTTCCAAATAGCAGTACAAAACAAAGAAAATAAAACATTCACTCCAATCAAGAAAAAGAATCTTTGCCCTATGCAGTAATGCATGGTTGAAGGCGTCCGTCTAGCCCGCACCGCCCGTCCATGCTGTGTGCCATGCCCCTCCCCAGCGCCCACCACCCACGCATCTCAATCCACCGCCGCCCGTCACGGGCGCTGTCTCCCAGCGTCAAGCGGCTCACGCCCTCAGTGTGTTCTTCCCGTCCATTCTCACGCCCTAGACCTAACTAGAGGTCGGTGCTTGGACCAGTGTACCCTAGGAGCCGAGTGCAGTGCGGCACGTGCGAGGCCTAGCGAACCATGGCGCCGTGGGCAGGATCAAGTTATCCGAGGCCACTGCCGAGGTCTGTGCCGCCGATGAGCTCCACACCGGCGACCTCCGCGTCACTCCGTGGCATTGAGCTCTATATGTTTCATGCGTTTTAGATGTATGTTTCAAATGTTCTAGAGGTATGTTGCAAGTGTTTTATATGGATGTTACAAAAGTATATGGTGATGTTGCATATGTTGCAATGGTTGTACATGGTATGTTGCAAGCTTATGTTCCAATGTTTCATCTGTTTTTTCAGACGTATGTTGCGTATGTTTTTACAATGGTTTCAAGTGTTTTTCAGGTTTTTTTTTGCAAGTGTTTCAGATGCATGTTTTAAATTTTTTATCTGTCTTTAGACGAATGTTGCAAGTGTTGCATCTGCATGTTTTAAAAGTAGATTAGGTGTTGCATCTCCCTCCTCACCTTCTACTGCCTCGCCTTGGTGTCTCCTCCTCCTTCTGACGCCGGTTGGGCATCCGCCGCGGTAAAAAACCAAAACGTCTTATAATTTAAAAACGAAGAGAGTACTATGAAAGAACACTGGTGGATGAATATTATTTCATGCCTGGTGTTCTCAACGAGTGGTAGTGGTATATCATCTTGTGGATTCAAACTAGGTCAATAGTGATGAGCTTAGAGCTCATTTGGTGCGGCTCTTGCACCGGCTTTTCCACGGGCTCTAGCACCGGAGCCCGCAAAGCCACACCAAACGCATCACCTATGAGAAGCGCTTCTAGAGCCACAGGGGAGGACCTGGAGCCCCTTTCACGAGAGGAGTCAGAGCCCTGAAAAGTGGCTTCGCCTATGGGGCTCCGGCGCAACGGAGGAACCGCGCGGGCGAAGCCCTGCCAAAGATCGGCGCTGCTACCAGCGTCTAAAAAGCTAAGGTTGCCAATTTGAGACATGTGAGAAATAATAACCGATGGAATGGGCAGATTAGGTTCTGAAAGAAAGTTAAAATATATCCTGGGCAGAAAGAAGAATTTTAATCGGAAAACCTGTCAAAGGATGCAACATTTTTGAAATATATAAGTAGCAGGCGCGATGGTACACATCCAACGTTTTTCCCGTTTATTTATTATATATCGAATCACCAAACCACCCGGTTCCTCCCGACACGAATTACACACATACTCCTGGCGGAAACACAGCAGCTACGCACAGATGATGACAGAAAGCAACAGCATGCGTCGATAACTTGAAGTGCTAAGAAAGAAGCTGCCATCACGAGGACGAGGAGTCGTTTCTTACAGCACGCAGAGTTTGTTGACGCATGTGCAGCCATCAAAGCGTGAAATTGTGCAGGGTATTAAAACACAGGTTTCCCCACAGTAGTTCCTCGCACTGGCTTGGCAAATTCGCTCGCGATGGTGTTTAAGCGCAGGACGGGGGAGGTATGAAGGGTGCGAGCGCCCATGGCCGTCGGCGGAGCTGCTGCCATCAGCTGCAGAAGCAGCAGCATTGTTATGGCCACCGCTGCAGCTGCCCTGCCCCTCCTCTTGCCACCACCACTCTCCATGCTTGCTTGCTGCCCTCTCGGTGACTGACTGCTACTAGTCTCCTACAATGGCTCCGTTCGTTTCGCTGAAAAAACAAGCCGAAACACTGTTCCGGCTAATTTGTTGTGAGAGAAAAACACTGTTCCAACTAAAAACAAGCTGAAAAGTACGGATTATGCTCCAATATACCTACTCCAATATGCTTAATCTGTTTTCTTTGTTTTGCTGCGCTCCCAATGCAAGGATCCCAAGCATTCTTTTTATAGCAAGTTGGGGTTAACGTACGCTCTACTCCTATGTCATCGTCATATCATATCATATCTTCATCATATTTGTCAGTGTTTCGAACAAGTACCGGCTAGTAAATTTATAATTATTGTGCGTTAGGCTCGGATGGTGTATTAAAGGACATAAGGTTTATACTGGTTCGGGCAGAACGTTCCTACGTCCAGTCTGTGACTGCTCATGTTATTAGTACCGAAAAAGGTTCGTAGTAGGGGGTACAAACGGTTGAGAGAGGGACAGGTCCCAAGTCTCTGATGGAAAGGTCGAAAGGACGCCAAGAGCTCGGTTGCTGCTTGGCTGTGTGTTGTGTGTCGAAAACGATCGATCAAAAGTCGGTCCCCTTAGTGGGGTGCCCTGCCCTCCCTTTTATAGACCAAGGGGGAGCAGGGGTTACAGATGGGAGAAAGAGGAAAAACCAAAGGTAGAGAAGGTCCTTCAGGAGAGCCGGGTCTTCCTTTTCCCGTGTGCCTGCCCTGCTAACATGGCAGACCGTGTCAGAGATGGTATGTTCGCTTATCCTTATACGGCCGTGCCCTGGCCTCTATCAGCAAGTGGGTGCGTCCCATCCTACGCCGGCAGATGGTGCGGCGTATCAGAGGGCCAAGCTACGATCCTTCGGGAAGTAGACGGGGAAGTGACCCTACGTCCGTCACTGTAGGTGATGTGAATTCTGTCTTGGATCGTAGTGGTTGTCGCATGCTTGTGTTAGTATCCGCTTCCGAGGGCTGATGGCGACGCCTACAACACTGTAGGACAAAAGTCGGCGCCTACAACACTGTCCGGGCACTGTTAGGTCGGAAAGGGCTTAAAGCGCCCGTCCCATCGTATCCTGACGGTGCCTTCCTGCAGGTGTACAGGGCATGGCCCTTGATACTGTGGTTGACTCAAATGTCCTGTCGTACCCTGTGCTCGTCTTTATGAAGGATCAGGGTGCAGTCGTTGGGCGAGGCGGAGCCTGTCCTCGGACGTCAGGCGAGGCAGGGCTAGCCCTCAGCCGTCGGGCGAGGCGGAGCCCGCCCTCGGGCGTCGGGCGAGGCGGAGTCTAGTCGTTAGCCATCGGGTGAGGCAGAGCCCGCCCTCGGACGTCGGGCAAGGTGGAGCCTGTCCTTAGCCATCGGGTGAGGCGGAGTCTAGCCCTCGGGGGTCGAGCGAGGCGGAACCAGCCCTTAGCCACTGGGCGAGGCAGAGTCCAGCCCTTGGGGGTCGGGCGAGGCGGGACCAATCTTCCGTCGTTCGGGCAAGAAGCGCAGTAGCGTTCTTGTCTGACCGGAAGTGTCAACGTTCAATGGTTATTAGTTTCCACCTCACTGGGTACCCCGGTATTAGGTCCCCGACAGTAGCCCCAAGCCCTCGAGTTATACGAGCAGAATCGGCCGAGGGGTATTTCGATTCGCCAGAGAGTGCGCGCGAGCGCACCCGTCGGGTGTAGCCCCCGAGCCCCCGGGTGATTCGGGCAGAATCGGCCGGGGGTATTTCGATTCACCAGAGGGCAGAATCGGCTGGAGGGTATTTCGATTTGCCAGAGGGTGCGCGCGAGCGCACCCGTCGGGTGTAGCCCCCGGGTGATTTGGACAGAATTGCCCGGGGGGTAATTTCGGACCCTTCATGGGTTAGGCTATGAGATTCGGTTTTTGTCAACTGGATATTTTTAAGGGAACCCTGGTATCCCGTTCGCGGGGATTTCGTCCAGGGTTAGCCTAGCTAGGGCTCGACTGTGGATCGAGGCTCCACTGATGCTCGTGTACCAGAGTCCTGGTCGCTCGTGGGCCCATCCCTCGTTGGGACGGTCGTCGAGACTGTTGGGTAGGCCCTTGGACTCCTGGGCCCAGGCGGGCTGGAGAAGAAGCTTTTTGACCCATATCCCCTCTATGGGAAAAGAGTCTGGTCCGCTTGGGAAGGCGAACCGTCCGACGCGATTTTGGTGGGAAAGGATAGGGATCGCGGGTGCGTATCCTGTGACGTGACGCGGCTGTGTGTCGTGGCAGGCTCGGAGATTGAGGCGGATGGTTGCCCTTCTCGCATCCGTCGCCCTTATAAAACCATGGGGTTCGCCCCCAGGGTTCTGTACTTCGCCTCCTCGCCTTCGTATCTACAACCTCCGCCGTCAATCGCCTGAGCCTCCCGCACCCGTATTGTTGCCACCGTCAAGCTCGCATCCGCATCGCAGCCGCTGTCGAGCTCGCATCCACCCCCTTTCCTATTGTTTCAATGGAGCCATGGTGTAGATCCAACATTACCCCTCAGCGTCTGGAGGGCCTCGTCTGCCATGGCCTCCTTCGCCCGTTGTCCGTCGTCGAGGAGTGGCGGCTGCCTGGTGATGAGGACGAGCCGTCGCTGCTCGAAGGATATGTCATGTCCTTTGCTCTCTTCCATGAGCGGGGATTCGCCGTACCTGCTCATAAGTTCCTTCGGGGGCTGTTGGATTACTACCAGGTGGAGTTGCAGCACCTTAATCCCAATGGGGTCCAGCATATTGTGGC